CTTTTCACTTTGTACTTGAAAAGCCTGAGGCAGAAAGTTTAGGAAGTGCTTCCATTTGGAGGTATTGGTTGGTTTTAGGGTTTTAGATGAACTCTAGAGGCAAACTCAGAGTTTCCTAGGAATGTAATTATCACAATTGGGAAGTGATCATAAATAGGCCAAAATGATATGTGAAAACTGTACAGACCCCATATTAGAGCATTTTTTCCTCTGGTGTTTCCTCCATTGTTTCAAGAACATTGATTCTCAATTTGAGTAGCAGTAAAAATGAAGAGTAGGGTTGTTCTGTGTCAGTCAAAACCTCTAATAGAGACTGGGTGAGAAGCAGGAAGTTTGTGACAGATCTGAGAAAATAAAAGCCAAATGCATGTACCAAAGACAGTGTCCAGTACTGCCCTAGAACCCAAAAAGGTTTATGTAACTGCATGCATTAGCACAGTGGCATATGCCAGCAAAAGGGCAATGTGTAATGACACCCGCTGAAACTGTAAGTAGGATGTCAGAACCCATAGCATACTTATGCTGTGTGCTTTATAGAAAAGGACATATCTCAAATACAGCATGACCCAGAGTCCAAGTTACCAAGTGAGAAGCATATATCTCATTTGTCTGATTCTTTTTGGCAGGAAGACTTTTAAGGACACTGGAAGAGGAGATGTGAAGAAAATGTCAATGTCACAGATACATATTCAACAAATACGTGTGCCTGTGATGTGGTCTTTCAATATGCTTCACTGTTTAAAATGCATACTCAAGCCCATTGGAGGGCCTAGAAAGCAATTTTTTGGTTAGAAATTGTATATTAAAAGAGAATAGAATAAAAGACAATAAATACAACAGATTACATCTCACATAATGAGAGTATTTTATGAAACTTTCTAAAATATGGATGTTCTCTTATGTTTGTGAATGTGTATTTATATACATACATATATTTAGAGTTACAGATATGTAAAATTTTTCTATATTTTATAATAACAAATCAACTAAGGCATAATACAAGTGATTTTTATGGATTACCATAATAACTATTGCAAAAAAGTTTGAAAGCCATTGTGCTTCCCACACTAAATCTCTGCTCTTCAAATTCTTACAGTGTAGTTAGGAATAAGACACATGAAATAAAAAGAAATAATTTATTTTATTCATCACTCACCACAATCAAGGTGAATAGCTTGTCCTAGCTGGTTCCCATGACATTCTCAGACACTGGATTTATTCTTATCATCATTTTATAGAAGAATAAACAAAATGTCTTGACTAAAGCAAAGCAATCAAGCCTGAGGCCAAATTAGTAGAGGCTATATTTACAGTCTTATCTGATGCTTAACACTACCATTTGTTTTTTCTATATAGCTTACTGCTTCCCTAATAAGGTAGCAAATATGCATGAAATAGGTAACATGAACAAGACTTTGGAATTTCAAAGAAGAGGTCACTATTAGCTGTCAAGAGAGTGAGGGGCTGTTTCTTGAAAGAGATGAGATTCAATTTTAAGATTCAATTCTGAGGACAGGAAAGGAAATAAGAATGAATTCCAAGTAATAGGTAGGGTGTGACCGGTTTTAGAGTAGGGAATGAAAATTGGGATCATAGGACCCAGAGAATTTTGCTAGTCTAGCTCAAGGGGAAAAAGTAACTATTTGGAAAAGAAAGAAAGACTACATACAAACTCGACCAGAAGGATATATCATAAACTGCTTTGCAGGCACTGTGCTAAGTTACTGTGCATCATTATGATTTATTTCCCATGACAACCATTATGTGTGTTTTGATGCTCATTCTGATGAGTTGTGAGACTTAAAAATTTCTAAAAACTTACTTAAGTATTATTGTGATGCTACGTTGAAAGGACACACATGGCTGAATGCACCTCTCATGTTGCTGGCCATTTTTGCTTTTCTTCCTCTTTTTGGAAATGATTTACAAATAAAGCTTATAATACAACCCTTTATTCCAGGATTGCATAGCCCCACTGGTGTTATTCCTATTTCAGTTCACATGAGAAGAGCTCTTGAGCTTTGTCTGTGGCAGGGTATGCATTGTTATACCCTTGGGGGGGCCCACTTTAGTCAAATGATGGAAATAACAAGGAGAGGAGAGGAATGAATTAATGTGGCATATTGATGAAATAATTGATTCAACTTGTAAACAAAATAAAGCAAAAAAAAATTCAAAGGTCATGTGGAAGTCTCAAGCTGAGAAAATTGAGTAACATTTGTAAGATCAAGAAATTGAGGTTTGGAGAGATGCTTCCAGGATAAGTGCACTTACAGAGGACCTGGGTTCAATTCTCAGCACCCACATGATAGTTCAAAACCATTTTAACTCCAGTTCCAGGGGATCCAATGCCCTCTTCTGAATTGTGCCAACAAGCATGCACGTGGTATAAAGACATACATGCAGGCAAATGACATAACATAAAATAAACACACAATTTTAAAAGAAATTAAGCACTATATTTAAAATACTCTCAAACAGATGAGATGCTGTCTGTGTGCATTCTAAAATTAACAAAGTATCTATGCTTGTTGTTTTCTCACAGTATGCCAGCCATGGGCCTAAGGATGTTAAAGCAATTCATTTATTTAATTCTCACAACAACTCAGATTAGGAAACCGAAGAGTGGGGTAGCTTAGCATCTTGCCACAGACCACACAGCCTATAAATGTCAGAAGCAGATTTCCTGCCCCAATGGAGAGTCTCCAACCTCAACTTCTCTTCTAAATCTCAACCTCACATATGTTAGAATTCCTAGCCACTCCCCTATGACTGCACATGCGCTAGCAAAATGCTTACTCATAATCTATGCGCATGTGTGGTGTAACTATATGTAAGCCCATGTGAGGGGAATCCATAAAAGCGGGTCCCACACATACCCCCCACTTCCTGCACAATCTTTCAATAGGCCTAAACACCCCCTTCTGTTTCCCCTAATAAACTCTTATAGTGAGTTTTGTTGTGCCTCGTGGCTTTTCTCACATGGTAAACAGCACCGCTTAATGAATAGCACAGTGCCACCTAATAAATAACAATATACCCATCTAGCTTCTTCGTGTTTACACTCAAATGATACCAGGAATCTCAAACTTCACATGCTTGATCCTTCCATTATCCCCCATCATCCCACCAAAAATGGGCTTCGAGCTAATCAACTGTCTCACTTATCCAGAGGGCCTGATTCAGTTGGGGGCCCCCCAGCCTTTGGTTCATAGTTCATGTGTTTCCATTCGTTTGGCTATTTGTCCCTGTGCTTTTTCCAACCATGGTCTCAACAATTTTTGCTCATACAATCCCTCCTCTTTCTCGCTGATTGGACGCCCAGAGCTCCACCTGGGACCAGGACCTGTCCTTAGTGCATGAGCTGGCTGTTTGGAACCTGGGGCCTATGCAGGGACACTTTGCTCAGCCTTGGTGTAGGGAGGAGGGGACTGGAACTGCCTCCACTGAATCTACCAAGCTGAGCTGAATCCCCAGGGGAGTCCTTGCCTTGGAGGAGGTGGGAATGGGGGATGGGCTGAGGGGAGGGGGGGGGAGGACAGGGGAATCCGTGGCTAATATGTAAAATTAAATTAAATTATAAAATAAAAAATTGGCTTCGGTTTTTTTGTTTGTTTTTGTTTCTTTCTTTTCTTTTTTTTTTTCCTTGCCTTAGGTAAAGATAGGCGCATTTGTTTTCAGGTGCTCTTTGAATTGTTGAGTCATTCTTGCCCAGTTTCTTGGAGCAAAAAACTTGGCGTCCTTAACACCTCTCAGAACAAGCAATGCACCATGTCTGGTATTCTTTCGGGTCAGATGCAGAACCTAACTAATTCTCACAGTCTCTGTCCACTTAGAAAAGGACATCCATAATATTTCAAACAGCATCCAATGGTTGTTAGAACCAAATCAAACAACACAAAATTAAACCGTGTCCTCATTACTTCTTGTTGCTGAGTGCTTTTTTAAGAATAATAAATTTTATCTGATAAACATATTCATTAAAAATTAGCCCAGGGCAAATTTACTAATTTAAATCCTTTTACTTGGAAGCAACAATCTTTTATGAAACTTTCCATCAGACTGTTAAACAGTTCAAATACCCCTGTCTCAATTCTGTGTTTTAAATAGCTGATAAAATTGCATTTGCACATTCCAAGTTTCTTGATAACTGTTGAAAACACTTACATCCTGGCTTAGGTTAAAGCAGTGTTCCCTAAAGTGCATTTCACAGAACAGTAATCCTACAAGTGTTAATTGGTACTGTTCAAGGAACAAAAAACTGATCCCAGGCAAATGAATGCTAGAAATGCATAACTACTCCAGAAACAAATATTTTAAAAATATTTTTAAATTTTAAACATTTTATTTTGAGATTTTCATACACTGATACTGTATCTACAATATTCCCACCCCTCTCCTTCCTAATTCAAGCTCCTTCTGTGTCCCACCCAACTTTCTATCACATTCATCATCTCTTTTTCTTTAATTAACACACACACATACACACACACACACACACACACACACACACACACGCAAACACAAATACACAACCATTACATTCTGTGCATGTGTATGAAATATACTGAGCCTATTTAATGCTGATCTTATGTACATATGTTTTGACCTGGTCACTTAGGATTAGACAACACACCTAAGGACTTATCCCTGGAGAAAACTGATTCTCCCTCTCTAAGTAGCTATGGATTTCCTATAATTTGTCATTTAAAAGTAGGATCTTGTGAAATGCCCCCATCTATATTGACATGTCAACCAACTAATGTTGTCATTGTGCCAGCCCTGTTTAACTCCTCTTCTTGTTAAGATTTTATGGGTGCACTTTTTCTGTCATATCTAGAAGACACTATTAACAAAAGCACCCTAGTCCATTGGTTCATTAACCACCCCCCATGATTTTCCTTGAGTCTTTGATATAGGGATGCTTTGTAGATATATTAATTTGGGTAATTTGGGTAACCCAAGGTCACTTATTCTCTGCATTTTGACCGGTTGTGGATATCAGATGAGTAGGATTATTAATTATTTTTATGCCCTTAGGAGCTTGCATAGCGCTTTCAAATACTATGAGAGATGGTGATGGAGGAGGCTTTCATTCAGCTTTAAGGAAAATGAAATTATGGAAATGGCAGGTAAGTGGATGGAACCGAAAAATATACTGAGTGAGGTAACCCAGAGCCAGAAGGACAATGGCAGGATATTCTCTTATTTATAATTCAAAGCTGTGAATATTTACACTTGAGTATATAATCTGATGCAATTGCAGAAGTCAAGGAAGTAAAAGGGCATTACAAATGAGGAGGAGCTTTATGCAAGAAATCCACGGGAGTCTGCTTAAGAAGTATCAGGGAATGTATTAAGATACAAGTTTGGGAAGTACACTCATGAACTACAGAACCAAGTAAACAGCTGAAATCTTCCTCTGTTCCTTTGGGGAGCTAATGCACCTGGCAAAAGCACCTGGCCATCTTGTCTCTGATCACGCCAAGCAGAGAGCATGACCCCTCTAACTTTCCTTTTAAGAGGTCATGTCTGCAGGCAAGAATCACTGCCTCCTTTAGGAGCAAATACCACTACATTTCCCCTATTTGTCTAAATAAGAAGGTTTTAAACCTAATGCAAACTACAAACAATAAAAACGATTATCAAATATTGTTCAGGAGAAACAAAGGGTAATAACATAAACAAAAATGGAACAAGAACAATGTCAAGTAAGAAGCATACTAAATGTCCAGATCATAGGTGAAAGACAAATTGCAGAGATTACTCCAAAAGCTGTCCTATCCAGAAGAATTTGAATATATTACCGAATATGCTCTTAGCTAAGATATGAGAGGCTTGTGACTGTAACTATCTAGTCTTTAACCCCATTGAATACCTGAGAAGGAAAATATTACCTGAGTAAACAGAAAGTACAAATGAGCAACTTCCAAAAATTGCAAGAAATGACAGAGACAGCTGGCAGCCTGGACAGTCACCCAGTGTTTCTCTGGAATATCAGGGCATCTATTTTTTGGCTATAGACCTAGAATATCTGACCAACCATTTTCAGAAGCAGGAATTTTGAAAGACCATCTTACCCTGTCTTGGTGAAGTTTAGCAGTCACTTATTCTTTGTCCTGCTTGTCCAGATTAGACAGCATGCTTACTGTCAGCAGTCGAGGCAAGGGCAGTCCTTTGTCCAACAGGCCATTTTTTGGCCAAAAAGAAGAAAAACTCCATATGGAGTATCTTCAGTGACCAACATCCTCTCAGGAGTAGATCAGTGCTCCCAGGAGCAATCATGTCTCATGTCAACAAAATTTTAAGTTATTAGAACATTTAAAGCCATATTCTCTAAGTCTATGAAATGTTTGAAGATTACCTATCCATCTAAAATATATTTCTGTATATCTACAAAATCTAACATGACTATAAATATGACAAACATAGGTGACTATTAACCTGTATTTCTTATCAACCTAAATAACTCAAGGACTAAAGCTTCACATTATAAGAATAAACAGTCTGTAAACAGATGTACAGTATAAGAACAATGACCTTGAATTTGTGACAATATACAAAATGTCTTAATCAGAGGTAGAAATGTATAGTGCAATATGACAATAATATCCTTAATATGTATCAATATACAAAATATCCTAAACAGGGGTAGAATATACATATAGTATGACAAATACAATTTTACATTTATATCAACATACAGAATATTTCAAACAGGATTAGGAACATATGTACAATATGACAAATATAGTTTTGTATTTGTATCAATATACAAATTTTCTTAAGCAAGAATAGAAAATAATTTAGAGTAGGATAGAAATACATAGGAAAAGGAGGAAGGAGATAGAACACTAACAATGTTTGAAAAAGCCATAGGGAAATATTAGTAAGCATATATAAAAATACATGATATATATATATATATATATATATATATATATATATATATATATATATTGCATGATATATTACATATGTGTGTGAGAGTTGAATTTGTTAGCTGAGATTATATAAAGTTGTTTATTGGGGGAGTTATTAAAGCAACTCCACATAGTTAAAAAGGAGGTTTATTTGGGGGTAACTTACATCTACCATCTCAGTCTACCATCCAGCATCCAAGATCACCAGGAACCAAGAGAGCCTGCACATCCAGATCCTGGGTCTTAAGGGCTCCTGTCTGGGACCTGCCCCATGGGGCAAGTCATAGGTAGGCATGGCAGTTACTAGAAACCTCATGAGAGGTAGTACTTCCAGGTCAAAGCTGGAACAGCTACCAACTACAGTTGTTGGTTAGAAGGGGTCCAAGAGATTCTCCCAACAATATAGACTATTGCCATTGCCTCTGGTTTCTGCTGAGAACGTGAATGTAAGGCTCTATTGCTGAAGCTATCATACACTTTGGACATAGGAATTGGGATACCCAAGCTTTAACTATTTGTTATCTGAGACGTCTCCAGAAAAGATAGTAGGATCTGGGGATCCTAAGAGAATGAATGAAATTCAGGGAGATTTCAAATTGTTCTCACTGTGGAAAATACTTTCAATAAACCAGCAAGCTGTAAAAGTGTTCCACAGAATACACTATGAGAAGCACCAAGGTAAAGTCTTAGCAAGAGTAGAACTATTAGCAGTCAGCTGAATATCTTCATAGAGGTTAAAGTATCTGGTGTTCAGACACATTGAAAAGTCTGGTGTGTGTGTCACTGATAATATTCTCAACTTCAAACTTAAAATATTTGACTCTCTGTGGGAAGAAAAGGTATCCTAGCCAGGATAAAATGAGAAAAAGAGCACAGCAATTACAAGGCATTTTTGCATCCTGATTACTCATTTTTAAAAATAAAATTTTCTGAGGTCTGTGTATTTTGTCTTTGTGAGATAAAGGTCCTGAATTTTTATGAGTCAGATTCTAAAGGTGATGTATTTTTTAATAATATTTTCAGGTATACAAGGCCCAGTGCAATTCTTGTGCTTAATTGCCCTGTTACCAAGGTGACCATTTGTCATGATACATCCAGTACATTCTGAACTTTCACCCTTCACTATGTGATTACTAATAACACCGCCTCCCCCGCCCTTTGGTCTATTTGGTGTGACAAACTAAGCTGTTACCATCCCAGCTATACATGTTTGGCATATTATGATTTCCAAAGAAATCCTTTCCTTTCCCTTTGCTATTCTCCCAACAAAAAATGGAGACTAGTTGTTCTCTTCTGGAATCTGGGAGGCCCTGTGGCAAACTTGTCAACAGTAGAATATGGCCCAAGGGACATTTCCTAACCAGCTGAATGCATAAAAGGCAATTCTATTGCATCCTTGCTCAATGGAAAATTCACATTGGAGCTGTTAGTCACTTGGTAAGGAATCTGACTGCACTAAAGCCACCATGCTGTGAGGAAACCCAAATTAGCTCCCTATATGAGCTCATGCAGAGAAGGCTTCAAACTGCTACTCTTTTCTCATTTCAGCCACATAAGAGATCAGGAGCAAGAAAGATCCAGCCACAAACGTTTTGGAAAACTGATATGATGGAATCATAAGCTAGCAGAATGCTCATTGCTATTGGCAGACACTGAGGTATGAGGTGATTTATTATACCCCCACATTAAGTGGATCACTGGAATGTATATGAAATAGGAAGTTGGAATGCTTAGGGTCTGTTTTACTTTGATTAAATTTGAAAATTGACAGCAGAGAGATATTTGCCTTTCTAAAATTCAGATAAAATATGTACACTATTATAAATGGTATATTGTGGACCCTCCTAACTAAAGATGAACTTGTAAAACAACAAAATTCTAAGGGACAAATGTATGGCTTTTCCTTTACCTTTACCTAAAAGCTTTACTTTTACTTTTGTTTCTGTTAAATATGCACAGAAAAGAGAATATAAATACTATCAGTCTAGCTTAAAGACTGAGTCAAAATGAATACTTGAGCAAAATGAGGTTTTCAACTTGAAAATTGAGTATGCCTAGTGATTTCAAATGTTCTAATCTCTTTTCATGGTCTGTCCAATTTCCATCTTTTCCATGACAAATGAATTCCTTATTGTCTTCTTTCTCCACAACTTACCTACAGCTAGATTTGAATGCATTGTGATTGAAGGATTGTTCCTCACAGTGACATTACTGGAAAGTAGTAGAACCTTTGAAATGTGGAACATAGTAGGAGGTCATTCGATCTTTGCAGACACACCTTTTGAAATTAGTTCTAAGGCAGCAATTCTCAACCTGTGGGTCATGACCCCTTTGGTGGTTAAATGGTCCTTTTCTCAGTGGTCACCTAAGACCATCGGGAAACACAGATATTAAGATTAAACATTAAGACATTAATGTTTAATTAATTAACATTAAACATTAAGATTCATAACAGTAGCAAAACTGTGGTTATAGAGTAACAATGAAAATAATTTTGTGGTTGGAGGTTACCACAACATGAAGAACTGTATTAAAGGGTCACAGCTTTAAGAAAATTGGGGGCCATTGGTCTGAGGAAGCACATGATTGTTCTTCTGAGAGGACTAATGACAAAAGAACAACTCTTCCTCATGTTCTCTGTTTCCATATGTGCCATTGGCTGTTGGCTATGAAGCTCTTAACAGATCTGCTCCCATACTGGCACCTTGCTTTTGAGCATCTAAGGAAATCTTTTGTTTTTATGAGATTAGCTGCTTTGTGGATTTGATAACACAAAACTCAATAAGTTGCTTACTTTTCCTTTAATATATTATTTAATTCTTCTAGGTATTGAACACAGAAACTATAATCTTGCCACTTGGTTATTTTGCTCAAATATATGGTTTGGGATATACTGATATTATCAGCATTAATGTGTATAGTTATATTCTTCTTCCACCCTTGTTACATAGCTTTTGTTTCAGTAAACTAAACTGATGTGAAATAAATGTTTCCTCAGAGTTTCCACTGAGTAAAGTGAATTAGCAAGTTAATGAATAAGGAACAAAAGCAAGAAAATATGAGAATGTTTGAAAAGCATCCATAATCCACAGATAAAGAAGAAAATGATCTATTTATTTCTTGCCGCTAAGGGACTTAAGTTGAAACAGTTTGGCCTCTGAGACAAGCTCAGATGATATCTAGATGAGAAAGAAGCTTAATATTTGCATTGTGTTAACTCAGCTTCAACAGAAATCCCCTAATGGATCATTATTTTCTCAGTATTATTGTCCTAATAGTGCCATAGGCTTCTGAAATGTTCATTTGTCCCACTTTTTATCTTGGTTTCACAACTAAGTTACTATCATGTGACTTATTATCAGAAATATGAAGTTAGTGCTTGTGGTATATCCGTATCTGAGGCCTCAGTATACATAGTCTACCATAACACTCCATGCTATTTTTTCTCTTTATGAGGACATCAGAGACAGCCATCCTATAAGATGAATAAAGCCTAGATCCCACAGTTGCCCTAAAAAATCAAGCAAGGAAGAGTTGTTAGGATTGAAGTATAGCTCAATGGTAAGTATGTTTGTGGAGCATACATGAATCTCTAGTTTTGATCCTCAGAACCACAGAAAAAGGAGAGTTGATCATCTAACTGACACTGGGTTGTGCCATAACAGATTTTAGAATTGTCAGAAGAGTATGATCTTGTTTTCTATTTTGATAATTATAATCATCAACTAATATAGAACACATAGCTAGAACTGGAAAATATTGTTTGCTTTTTTCTTTATTATTAATCCTATTTTAATAGGATACCAGAAGTGGTGTGTGCGTGGTGGTGGGGGGTGCACATGTGCACATATGCATGCATGTACACACATGTATGTGAAATTAGAAGAGGATATGAGATTAAAAGCTCTATAAGAAGCTGGGCGGTGGTGGCGCACGCCTTTAATCCCAGCACTCGGGAGGCAGAGCCAGGCGGATCTCTATGAGTTCGAGGCCAGCCTGGGCTACCAAGTGAGTTCCAGGAAAAGGCGCAAAGCTACACAGAGAAACCCTGTCTCGAAAAAGAAAAAAAAAAAAAGCTCTATAAGAGTAGCAAGTATAGTATTATTGTCTAATTCAGATATGTCTGACTTGTAGCCAATGGGCTACCAGTAGCTGCATGCATAGCCTAGGTTAGCTATGAGTACAGCCCAACACAAAATTGTGAACTTACTTAATCCAACATGAAATTTTTACTGTAGACTTCTCTAGATAGCTCTGCTCTGAAGTTTAGTCTCCACAGATTGTGTGGTGATGGCCAGGTGATCATGGGGAATCCTTACTGTATGTGGAGTTCCCTTATGAGAGTAGCCTCATGGTCCATGGAGTCTGTAATTATTCTTAAACTCAGTTGCACTGTTCTCAAGCATTAATTTTGTAGATGGCAATGACCTACCTACCACAATGTCAAAAGGTTGGACATTTCTGGAATCCTTACTATTTTCCTGGTAATGTGATAAAAACCTGTTATAAGTAGCTACAGTGCTTCTAGTCAGACTATGGTGATTTTATTTCAGCCATCAACACTATTTTTATGAGGAACCTGAAGTCTAATCATGACAGGACACTAATAGAAATTCTAGAGCAAGAGAGTTTACTAGTAATGGCTGGAACTCTGGTTCTTCTTTAGCAAAGTTAAATGCTACTAACAATAATGCTTAGCTGTTGAGCTTCCAGGCCTATGCCATGTTAGTAAGTCCAATAGGAGTTGGTCACTGAAAAGACTGGAGTGTTTCTCTGCTATAGTTGCCACATTTTGGTGCTTGCACTCTGCCACAAAGAGAGAAAGAGAACTTATTGAGGTTGTGTAGTATAGAAAACATCCATACTATGACTATTTATTTGCCCATGGATACATCATTATTGTCACTTTCAGGATAAACTCTGAAGAGAGAACAGACTAAAAATTTTAAAAAATGGCAAAGGACGAGCCTTGTGATATATATAAAATTGTGCTTGAAATCATTCAGAACAGCTGGTGGTCCACAGATATATTGACTTGTGTCTGGGTAGGGTTTCAAAGTCTACTAGTATTTTACAGATGAGTATTTGAAATGTCTAAATGTGTGTATGTCAGGGCACTATGGCTATTTGATTATTACAAATTATGTGGAAATTGATGTGTGATTGTCACTTAATACAATTTGCAGATACATGTTTATTAGGTATTTATTAATCTAAAAAATTGGAGACATTTAGATAAGTATTCTGAGAATCTGAAATTCATCAACTGCACTTCTGAAATGCAAATGGTCTCTCCTTTTAGTATAGAAGTGAGGTAATTTTATGATGCTCTCTGAGTGTGATTTTTTTTTCATGAAAACTACCCTTCATGTACTAAAGAGATCTAGGTCTATATGCTATGTATGGGGAAACAAAGAGAATTTCAGAATAATAAAACACCATGAAAATAAGAAGCATAGAGAAAGAGTAAAATGGAATATTCAAAAGGCAAGTGAAACTGTAATTGGAAGTGGGGCAAGTAATGAATTCATCTGTAATGGGAGAAACAAATGAAGAATGAATTTTTAGAAAATAAAAATTTAGGGTGTGTGTGTGTGTGTGTGTGTGTGTGTGTGTGTGTGTGTTTATACACATGAGTGTACATACATGGAAAGGCCAGCTGCATCTGCTATCCTGGGGCTGGAGTTATAGGCAGTTGTGAGCTGTTTGATATGATGTTGGGGGTAGACGTAGGGTCCTCTGAAAGAGCAGTATACCCTTTTAACTGCTCTGTTAAGCCCAAGAATATTTTTAAAGGAGAAAGACCACCACAAATTGGGACTATCCACATCCACCATGGCAGGTGTGGGGCTCATGAAGTCCTGCCCATTTACAGGGGATTTTTTTTTTTTTTTTGGTTTTTTCGAGACAGGGTTTCTCTGTGTAGCTTTGTGCCTTTCCTGGAACTCACTTGGTAGCTCAGGCTGGCCTCGAACTCACAGAAATCCGCCTGGCTCTGCCTCCCAAGTGCTGGGATTAAAGGCGTGCGCCACCACCGCCAGGCTATACAGGGGATTTTTACAAAGTTAACAGAAGACTGAGAAACATTTTCTTCAGTGGTGAAGTCACTGGTAGGTTACCTATGTACCTGTGAATAACCCCTTACTGATGATCTTGTAAGCAATCCTAAAGAAACTCATTGGATCACCACCAAGTATGAAAACAGACATACAAATAGAAGGGATAGTAAATATGAAGAAGGGAATCAGCAAGAATGGAAGGGTATAAGAGGATAATGTGGAATGGGTATGATTAAATGCATCTTACATATGATAAAAATGTCATTATGAAATCCACAATATGTATAATTAATATATGGTAATAAAATATTTATGCTATCACTTACAATATCTGTGAAGAAATATATGTGGTAACTAAGAACATTTTATAACAAGGAGCTTAAGAAAAGTCAGTAAGTTTTTCTTACTAAAGAAAGGTAAATATTTTAAAACAGTTGATAATCTGAAATCATTTTTTCTAGTCTTGATATAGACTATTTCACACACAAAGGCTATTACACACACACACACACACACACACACACACAAATAGTAACAAATACATGTCTGAACTCTTCCATTCTTGCCCACTGTATTCAAAAGTGTTTACATGGAAGAA